CTCATGATGCTGCGTCTCTTTCTGAAAGCATCGGCAATGAGCACATTCCGCCAATGCCACCGTTTAACAGACGGACTACGGAGCAGCTTGGTCTTCCCAGAGCCAATCAGTTGCCTGTCCTGCCTGTTGTTGACGATACTGATATTGGTGGACCGCCTGTTCAGATTACAGCAAACGGGACACTGTCTCACAGCCAGATCGCCATGAACATTGAGCTGGCCAACATTGACAAAGACTGCATGCGTGATCCTCTTAATCCAAGTTTCTATGAGGATGTTTGGTCTCGTGTTGCTGAGAACAACACCAAGATCTACCGCCGCGTCTTCCATGTCATGCCCGATTCTGCAGTAACGAACTGGGCCGAGTACAAGGAGTTCAAGGCTAACGAGCGGGAGTTCAAGAAGCAGTTTGAAGGTGGCAAGGCAAGCGAGGAAGTCAATGAGAAGAACGGAGTGGCCACTGAGCATGCGCAAACCAGTGCTGGAGTCGGTATCAGCGCACCGGGCCCAGCTCAACTCACCAAGAGCTTGACGGAGAAGCTGGTCACTCCTGTCTCCAAGCTCAGCGGCGGTGGTGACAAGGGAGCTCGGGAACGCACAGGCTCGACTACTACGTTGGACGAGAAGGGGGCCAAGAAGGACCACACGCGCAAGGCTCAGACCTTCCCACTCGATGCTGAGAAGGGTGCGATGTTGACGGCGTCGCAGAACCCCGGCGAACGCCCACCCACAGCAACACCCAAAGACAGCGCTGATTCGAACCACGATGATACCAGGGCGTCTGGAGACTTCCTGAGCGCTAGTATCACCAACAAGGAGCGACACGCCACCTTCTCCAACAACCAAGATCCTAACCCTCCCCCAACCTCAGCCAGCGGCGGCTCCACCACCACCATGGCCGACAACAGTAATGCAACCCCCAACATCGCCAACGGCAACGGCGCCGCAGTATCCTCCGACAACACAGCAACCGCATCCGCCATGGGCATTAATGGTGCTAGTGTCAAACCAGCCGCATCCACCAGGCAGCAGCGTCGTAGGGCGAACACTGGCCGTAGTAAACGCGGGTATAATCCATTTGATGCTCAGACTCTAAACCCGGCAGAGGCCGAGGAGACGCTCAGGTTGACCCAGGGAACGCTGGTCCAGTTTCCTTATGACTGGCTGGTCACGGAGGAGAATAACGGGAATTGGTTGTTCCAGGTTGACCAAGTGGCGCCGTTGCAGATTTAGTAAGTTTTTTTCTCTTTTTCCTCTTTTTTTTTTTTTTCCTCCGAAAACGACTTGTATAAGTGCAGTTAGGATGGGTGCTAATCACAGTGTTTCATTAGTAACTAAATATGCTTGTCTGCTGCGTTGTTCCACGGTTGTGGGCTTCACATACCTGCGTCATCCTGTTCTACCCCCTTCGCCCACCTTTTCCCTACGGCCATATTTCACCCTTGCTTTACCCATCTTCGCAAACAACATGGAATCGGAGGGGCGGAAGATAAAGACTCATCATATGTAGTGACATTCAAATATTCATGGCAAGGCGTTGTTGGGTTGGCGGGTTACATACATATTAGCATTCGGTGGCAACCTCTTGCTTTTCTCGAGTCATTCTTCCTCGTCAGCCATTTATTACTATCATCTTTATCAAGTTTTCAGGACGAGCGAACGCCGGCAGTATGTAGAGGTATGTCCTTTAATCATAGCATGCAGAATACTTGGTACCTGGGCATTTTATTTCTATTTTTGTTTTTTTGTTTTTTTCATTTTACCTTCTTTGTTATATATACCTAGTTAGTTATTTGTCTGATAGGACACGGACTTCTTTTTTTGGCTATACATCTCTTACCTCTTTGAATCCACAGCTGGTATATGCAAGTAGGCTCGCAGGTATTCTCAAAGCTTTTATTCATCATTTTGCCGTAACTAATATACCTTTAGGCTTAGGTTTACTTCAACGCTTTGTTCCCAGCCTGACCAGCCAACCTTTTGCTCATAACCGCCAAGCAAATGAAAGCCGAGCCAAGACGACCCAAAAAGCTTATGGAACTATCTATCGACTTAGAGCCCCCAAGTAACCATCCCAGATCTTCCCATCAAAGCTCAATATCAATGCCCAGATCCATGGCACCAATAATCTCATCGTCCATCAGGGGCGCCGAAATGACCGGCAAGCCGTTCTTCTTCTGTTGCAGCCTGTGCTGCTCCTGCAACTTTGCAATATGCGGCAATACTCCGTTGCTGTTCTTGGACTCGCTCTTGGACGGCGTGTCCGGCGTGGGGGTTCCCGCCTTGGACGGACTAGGCGTGGCCTTCTCAGACGAGTCGTGCACGAACTTGGGCCTGGTAATGAGCCTGCGACTCATGTCCTCCTGAACGGCCTCGCCACGCTCAATCTTCCTCTCGATTTGACGAGCCTTGGCGCGCTCGCGAAGCTGAGCCTTGCGGACCTCTTCGGCATTGCGCCGGCGGTTCTCCATGTTTTTGAGCGCCAGCTTCTCCTGCTGGGTCAGCTCCTTCTTGCCGTCTTTCTTGGTGAGGGAGGTACGGAAGGCAAGGCGGGGCACCTCGAGTTTCTCGAGACGCTCCTGGTAACGGGCGATGGCGGCCTCGTCGTTGGCCTGGCGAGCGATGTCGAGCTGCTTCTTGAGGTATTCGCGTTGGGCACCAGAAAATTTGGCCTGCAGGGCGTTCTGACGCTTGAGCTTGTCCGAGAGCTCCTGCTCGGTCCACGTACGCTGGACGAGGCGGTTGATGTCATTGATCTTGTCGACAAGGGTCTGTTTGTCTGGGAAGGGGACACCCTCGGCAAGACAGACTTGTTTGTAACGGTTGTACTCGGCCTGTTGAGGGTCTAATTAGAGATGATGACAAGTGAAGAGAGAACAGGCACGCATACCTCTGTAAACTTTCGGTCGGAACATGTGATCAAAGGCCACTCCCTGACGGCTTTACCGTGGGCAGCCTTGACATACATATCGACGACCATTTGGTGACCCTGATGATCTTCCAAGGCATATGCCTTACCGGTGGTGAAACCTGCATTCCGAACGTTAAACAACATCTTAGCTTAACAAGGGTCTAACGGGAATGATCTTACCCTTAATGAGAGCCATACGGTAGACATCCTGGCGAGTGTCGGGATCGGGACCAATGTTCAGGCGAACAAAGCATCCTGTGAGTGCTTCATCAAAGCCGGGGTAGAAAGCAACCTCGGCAAAGCGACTGCGGCCAACACGAACACGCTCAAAGTCCCGAAGCTCGGCAGGCGGGCTTTCTCTGCTCTCTGGCGAACGAGACCTGTGCTTCTTGTTGCTCGGGCCATCCCAGTCGACGTCGCTATCATCACCCCGACCGGGGCTGCGTCGGTACGAAGGCGAACGCTTACGACGGTCATTTTCCCGCTCCCGCTGCTCCTTGCGGTTGGAGCGTTCCTCCCGGGCCCGCCGGAGAGAATCCATCTTGTCGTCGGCCTTGGTGCGAGCCCGTGATGTCTTGCGTGACGAATCATCGAGCTCGGCTAGGCTTGCCTTGCGCTTCTTCTCTTGGTTGACCTTCAGCTGGCGAAGCATGCGGTTCTGGCGGATACGTTCATTCTCCTCTCGACGCTCGGCCAGAATCTGTTCCCTCTCGATTTCACGCATGCTCATGATCTGCTCCTTCTCTTCGTAGTCGCGGAAGAGACCGTCGACAGGGTACTGGTTCACCTCATCGTCAACACTACGCCTCGCCGGCGAGGCATCTGAGTCTGAGTCTGATTCGTCCATGGGGGCAGAAGCTTGGGAGTCCGGGGATCCCGGCGGAGAGCTGCCGAAGAGAAATTGTTTAGCCTTGAGCATCATCTTGGGCAGCATGGTGGGCGGGGTGATTGACAGAATTAAGAGGGGAAGGAGGCAAGAGGAGGAGAAGAAGGGGTTGATAAAGGCGAGCGGTAGGCTGAGGTCGATGTGGCGCATGGGTGACATGTAGAATGGCAGCCCTAGGGCTACCTGAGAGCTGGGTGAAGGAAAAGAAAGACAAGCACTCACGCCTGGCCCTCGTCCTCCGACTCGTCATCGCTTCTGGCACGTTTCCTTCCCACTGACTTCTTGGCCGTTCCCCTGGTAGACGTATCCTTCTTCCTCGGCTCTGGTGACGGGGAGCGGGAATCGTCCCTGCTCATGTCCATAGCCTCATCTCCGCTGTCATCGGAGGCGTCACCGCCTGCAAGGGCGAGCAACTCGTCGTCGATATCTGACATGGTCGCTTGTCTATCGCGGGCTGTCGGTTCTTATAAAGCTGCTTCTGTGTGCCTGTAAACGCTAGGGTTATGCAATGGCTCCTGCGCAAAGCAGGGTTCGATGGACAACCGTCGGGTGCAGATGGTGAACGCGATGCCGAGATACGTCGAGTGGAGGGCCGAACTGGTTCTTCCAAACTGTTGTTGGTGGATATGATCGGAACCAACAATGTTCTCTCAATTGTGGATTAACAATGCGCCAAAATCAAGAAGTCGTTATGCAATCGGGTGGTGTTGAGGCGGCGACGGGAGCGATGAATGAGTGAGGCGACAAGAAAGTCCAAAGCGGGATGAGAGAAAGGTTGTAGTATAGAAGGGAGGTGAACTCCTATTGTCCAACAGTTATCAATAGGAATTCAATGGGGTCTGGTCTAGGCTGATGGTAAGGTAGGTACTTTATGGAACTTGGGCGGCGCGACCTGGAACTCCACCCGCTTGTGCGCGACCTGACGGACAACTTCAACGTCCAGGGGCAGTGCTTGGCGTGAGTTACTCTAATGGGTGGTGGTGGTGGTCAAGGCGCCCAAAAGTTCCACACCGCCCAAAGGTTAGATCAGGCCCGTTGCCGGCCCGGCAAAAGCCCAATTGAATTGAGTCCCGTCGTCCTTTTGACCCTTGGCTTGGCCGACGACCAACGTCATCGCATGTGCAGGCAGCCCTGTGGAGCACTCAGCGATGGAGCTTCCCTTCGAGGTCCCGGGGGCGTCGCCGTGATTTTGTAAGTGGGCCGACTTTCGAGGTCCCGTCTTTCACTCGGCCTCGGCGCATCTCCCCCGAGCTTACTATACTCCGTCGCATCAACCGCCTCCGGTCCGTGCAACATCAGATTCTACCAACTCGTTCCAAGTCTTCCTCCAACACGCAAGACCGAAAAGACCGTCACAGCCCATAATGCTTCGTCCAGCAACCAGGCCAGCCCTCGCGGCCACCAGACAGGTCCGGCAATGCGCCGCGCGCTTCTTCTCCTCCCCCGCCTCGCCTGATACCAGCTCCTCGCATGTCCACAGCCCCTCCACAACCCCCGAGACCAACCCAGCACCACCCCCACCAAACTCTAGGTCGTCGACAAGTTCTTCCAAGGGTAAAAAACCCCTCACTGCCGAGCAGCGCGCCTTCCTCTCGTCCGCCCTCCGCGTAAACCAGGCCGGCGAGCTCGCTGCCACCCTCATCTACACGGGGCAGACCCCGCCTCTCGTAACCCGGGACCCCTCGCTGCGCCCGCTCATGAAGCACATGTACGACCAAGAGGCGGCGCATCTGCGCACCTTCAATAACCTAATCTACCGGCACCGCGTACGGCCCACGGCGCTGTATCCGCTCTGGTCGGTCATGGCCACGGGTTTGGGCTGGGGCACCGCCATGCTGGGCAAGGAGGCAGCCATGGCGTGCACCGAGGCGGTAGAGACGGAGATTGGCGGCCATTATAATGCGCAGATCCGTAAGCTGTTGGAGATGGTGAGCGAGTGGGAGGCTGAGGGGTATGAGGTTGGCGCAGAGTTCAGGCATCTGATCAACACGTTGAGGAGGATACGGGATGAGGAGCTGGAGCACCTGGATCATGCGGTTGAACATGATGCGCAGAAGGCGGAGCCGCACTGGTTGTTGACGGGGGTGATTAGGGCGGGGTGCAGAGGTGCCATTTGGGTCAGTGAGAGGGTGTGAGAGGGGATCTTCTTTGGGGTTGGCACGTGAAGGGGAAAATGTTAATTTTGGAGGAGTATTGTGTCGATGAAGATGACAACGAATTCATAAGGGGAGAAGGCTTTTCTATGAGCATTAGCATTATGTTCTGCAAAGCACGGGTTACAGACCGGTCCGTTTGTACTATTAGCTTATTGAGAGGGTAGGCGATGAAGCGAAAGTACGGAGGTGCTGTTTCGACAAATTCGCTCAGTTTTTGAAGCACCTCGACAACAGCACTCATTCACAAATGGTTGCTTTCTCAAGGCAACACTGCTAAGAGCAGAGGTGGCTCATTTTGCTTTGGTGTGGAGTCCCTATGGAAATCAGCTTGTGGCGTGGGCAGCTTAGGTTACTAGGAGACAAGAGGGTTCACTTCGAATTGGTATCTAGGTCGCTCTCTTGTTCTTTGCGCGTCTTTCACAGAGATATGCATGAGTTGGCAACACTAATGGCTCGACTCATGGGCTACATTACAAGCTCAGTATTGCTGCGGCTTTGGTTTCATATCCGGGCACGCTTGTGGCTGCTGCTCGGGTCGGCGGTAAGTGACACTTTTTTTTTATACTTTATTTTTTAATTTTTTTTTTTTTTTGTTTTCCCAACGACAAGTGAACATACATGATATGATGATCCTGTCTCCTTTGTACTTTTGTGTATGTGTGTGTGTGTGCGTGTGTGTGTGTGTGTGTGTGTGTTGTAATTGAAGTTGGTTGATAAACACCATGTGGGCTTGGTCACTGTGACTGTGATGGTCACTTTCACTTTCTTTTTCATTTTCCTATTGCGCTACCTGCCTATCCTTACCAGACAAACGGACGGGCCATTCGATAGTGCAAAGGTATATAAGGTGATGTTATGCTTCTGTTCTGTCCGCATTAAATGTGATGCCCCCCGACTCCGAGTGGTAATAGCGATTGATGCTGATGAGTGTGGCACACATTATTCGTTACGAGGTGTCATGCGGAGAGCTTGACTTTCATATGCCTTGTTCGGATGGCTTCCTCCGTGAGATGGGGTATTATCTTTGCTCTCCTTGGTATCCCTCTTTCAACCTTTCAGTGATTTGAGGATGGGTTGAGGATTGCAGCCCTGGCGGGTTGTCTTTTGTTGCGCTGTCTTTTCCCCAGAAGTCATCGACACTTTGCCAATGAGGTTAGCATGCTATTTTACTCTTCTTTTCTCCAGCTTGAACAATCAGGCTCACGAGAATCCAGCTCCTCGATCGCGGTTTCAGTGCCTCCTCGAAAATATCAAGCCATTCCAATTAATCCTCCATGCTGACGTTGCGTCTCGAGAAGACCATAGAATGACCGAAGCACTGATGTTGTCGACGTGGGGAATTCATCCAAAAAAAAAAAAAGAAAAAAAAAAACAAAAAAAAACACCCCATGTTCACCATGTCACACTCACACCCCTGGACACTCCGGACGTCGTTGGACACTACGAGTAGTACAGCGGCAACTAAACCGAAGCCCTTGTCCGATTGGTTAACGATGGCCGTCTGCAAGCGCCGGGAGTTGTGAGTCTTTAAGGGTTTTTGACCAATCAGGACCTGGATTGGCTAGCGTACCTGGATTGTTTCGGGGCCGCCAGGGGAAAAGGATCACAGTGATGGGTTGGGAGTGGACGGCGCTAGGTAGTGTGGAGGCGGAATTGTTTGGGCGGACAGGGGCCATGGAGTTTTATGTGCTGGCACTATCTGGACCTGACCTCTTTTCTGTGTTTTCTTCATTATTGGACGTTGCTGTTGAATGAATCTGCCTGTACACCTGAGATATTGGAAGTGATGGCGGCGGTAAGGCGCAACGAGAACAGATACCTAAGTGAGGTCAAGTAATATGTATCAAGCACAGGCCGCTGGTCGCTGGATGATCACCTAGGTAGTCGGGAAGGCGAGAAACCGTTCATTGATGTAGCAATGGAAAGACAAAGTGCCGAATGCAACGGTCGGCGACTCGTTGATGGTGATGTTCGAGTGAGACACCATGACCATTGACCAGGTTCAACCAGGCACGCCCAGGCACAGTAAACGCAGGCGAATCCTCGGCGTCACATAACGACAGGTGAAGATCTCGTCCGCATTGAAAGAATGGGCATCGTCAGATCACAGTACCTTACCTAGCGGGGAGAAGGGAGCGGGGGCATTGGGTCCTTTTAAGCGTACACTAAGGTAGCTCCTCTGGAGAGGCAACCACTCGAGGAAGAAGAAGAGGGCCTAAGTCTACTCCATTAAGTACTGCTCACTGTCGAATCACGGTATCGACCATTAACATTGCACATATACCTCTCTTGGAAGTAGGAGTAGCCGCCGCGAGTACACGAAGCAGCGCCGGCGTTTATACAAATTACATATCCACGTACCTACCTACCCCTACAACCACCTCTATTGCCTCCCAAACGCCCGCCTTTTTTTTTCCCTTTCTGGTCCTCCTCCTTCCTGATTGCGTTTCATTTTTTATTCACTTTTCCTCTTCCCACTGTCATACCATTCATCACCCGACTTTGACAGTCGCGCGTCGCATTCTTATCGGTCTCGTCTTTTCATTGCTTGCCGTGCAACGCAACTGAAAATAGAGGAAAAAAAAGTGGCCTCACCTCAGTTCATATTGACCTTTTCGACACAGACCGACATCTCATAATCACATCACTACGAGGCCGGGCCTGGTTTGGAACAAGAGACAGCAGTGGCAGTTATATAAAGGGAGGGGAACACCCAGCAACTGCAGTCATGTCGTCAAACGCCAACTACGAGCCGGATGCGAACCCAGGAAGCGTCGGTGCTGGTCCAGACATGGGAGACAGTGGAAGTATCGCCGGTGCAGCCGGGACATCATCAAACGACGTCGGGCTATCTCAAGGTGGTCTGATCGCCATCATTGTGGTTGTTTGTGTCGTCACCATCTTCGGTGGTAAGTCTTTCTCGCCCACCAGCAATACTGCACCGACCAGACATGATATTGACCCTCCCTCCAACAGTCGGTAGCGCAGTTCTCTTCTTCCTGGCAAAGAAAAATGAGTGGAAGGTCAGGGAGACCATCCGAAAGTCGGCAAAGAGGGTCGTCACGGCTTTGACCCCACGACGCAGCGAGTTCCCCAGATCGGTCAAGGGATCTTTCCGATCAACCAGATCCCAACATAAAGGCCGTGTAAGGATCGATGATGTGCCACCAACCCCGCGCATCAAGCCCGAGCACCTGGATTTGGAAAAAGGCATGGGGAAGCCGGAGAAGTCAGGAAAAACACGCATCAACTTCAGTCGGAAGTGAGCCGGTGTGGCGCAAGAGAAGATCAGACAGCACGAGTTGAGATATAATGAACCATTTGATGACGAAAATGGCAAGCTTGGGGTATATTTTGGGTATCGCTGGTCGCGCGAGCCTATTGCTTTGCGACTCGTATTCGGAAAGCAATGTGTGCCGTGGACGGTGATGATGTTCTTAGCCGGTTCAACACGGCCTGGGGGAGTTGACATGAAAGATACCATGACTTTTTCACATGTATAGTATATAGGGTTGGACGGATAAGCTTCTGGCGTTTTACAGTCGTCTAAAGGTGTTCGTGCTTGCACTTCTCCTCCCATCATGTCTCTTCCGTGTTGGTGCAGCCTCGGGTTCAGCCTGCTTCTTCTTCTTGGACTCGGGCACGAACGTAATCTTCTGCTCTCCGACCACGTCCGTTCGGGCCTTGGTGACGCGCCCAGTCCTTGGAGCTCTTTGGCCGAATGCCGTATCCTTCGCCTTGCCGCCCGCAATCTTGGACGACGAGACCTGCATGACCACATCATCCTTGCTCTTCTTGCTCTTCTTTGTCTTGCTTTCGACCTCGCTTTCCGGATCGCTCTCATCGTCACTGTTGCTGGTAACTGAAGAGTCGTCCTTGACATGCTGTACTGCGACATCTTGTCCGCCAACCTGGGTGCTGGGGTTGAGGGCTCTGAACTCCCTGGACATCTCATCGACCTTGAACTCCTCATCCTCGAACAGCTTGCCGAAACGAGAATCGCCCAGGACACCAGCGGCAATCTTCTTCTTGTCGGAACGATCAACAATCTTGTCAACCAGCTTCTGATTGACCTTGACCTTCTTGACACCTCTGATACGGCTCTCGCGAGCCTTCTCAACCTTCTCCTTGACGCGCTTGGCCCGCTCCTCTTCCCAGACATACGGATTGGCAATGAGACGAGCCTGGTCGTACAACTTGGAATGTACAAAGTAACCGTGCATATAAGGACGCAACAGGTTGGTCTTGCCAACCAGGTGAGCCAAGCTGAGCTGCTTGAGTTCGGGTATCGTAAGGAACTTGTAGTTGTCGTATGTGTCGACACGCTTCTCGTTCTCCATTTCGTGGACCATGTTGTCGAGGAAATGGCACCACCTGGGAGCGAGGCCAAGGTTGGGAATAAAGAAACTGTGCATCTGCTTGCCCTCGTTTGCAGTCAATAGCATGCCGGAATCGGGGACGTGCGCCACATGGTTGATATCAACGGTCGGCTCGATTGAGGTCCAGAGGTCGCCACTCTGTTCGTCCCAGAGCTTGATGATTCTCTTATCGGCCGTGAGAAGCTTCTTTTCCTCGGTAGGAGTCGTCAAGTGGATGATGTTCTTGATGGGAAGACCCATGCCCTGATCCTTCCGCATAAGCGGGCGAGGGTTTCTCAGATCGAAAACTTGAACAATACCCGTGCCTGTTCCGAGCGCAAGAGAGAGACCGTCTCTGCTGTAATCCAAGGCAGTGATTTCGCCCTCTTGGCCGCCCAATACCGCAACGCGATTCCTGCTACGGGGATCGTAGAACTCGACTGTGCCAACGGTCGTTCCGAAGGCGCAAAGTCCGTGTGTGGACTCGGCGACGGCCGCGACATTAACAGCTCCGACGTTGATGCTTCCCTGAAGACCAGCACCGGGCTCATCTTCACCCACATCCACCTGCCATGGCCTCAAGAACTGGCCGCGCTCCAGATCGAGGCGAAAAACCTCGCCCATACCAGAACCATCCGCACTCAAACCGACAGAGGGAATGAGCACTTCTGTACTTTGGCGAAGATATGCAAGGTCTCTGCCGAAGCGCGGGAGTCTGACTTCGTAGTGACATCCCATGGGGGTATGAAATTCGATCGAACGGTCGGATTGGAGGTGGACGCTCTTGGTGTAATCTTGGCTGAGCATAATGAAGGTGGTGTTTTCGGATTTCGTGTGGCGAGCGAAAGACAGCGACAGTTCCTGTGTGTTGTGGACGTGGAACTGGGGCTTGTAGGTACCGGAGCTCATGATCCAGTTGCCATCTTCACTGACACGGACGCAGTTGCTGGCCTCCTCGAAGTCGAAGTTCTGGAGGAGCTCGAAGTTGTTGAGTTCTTCGGGCTCGTACTTGGCCGATCTCTTTCTGCGGCGGGCAAGCCATTCTGGAAGGGGTCTCGCAGTCGACGGCCCAGATACGGTGTATCTGCGATGATGGTTAGCATTTCACAGCGGATCTCTCTTTTCAATGGCAAATAGACGTACACTGGCACCGCACCAGGATTTGTCAATTTCATGATGGGTGGTTTTGTTGGTGATGAAGGATGGGGCAAGGATGGAAGATGTTGAGAAACCAGAGAAAGCTTCAACTACTATCTGCTGGATGGGAACTGAAGTTTTGGAGAACAACCCTAACCCGTATCTGAACTTTTTGCGGCAGAAAATCTGCAAAAAGTTCCGAGAAGTGCCATGGTCGCCAAATGAGGAAGGCGGAAAGCCACCGGCGATAAAGCAACAGGTAGGGCGATAAGGCGGCTTGAAGAGGAAGCGGGACGGGAGGACTGCCCGTGGTGGACCTTTACAGTAGGTTCTGGTACCTAGGCGGGCGTCAGCAGGTCATTGCACTACATACAGTAGGTGAGGTGGCAGGCATGCCGGATCGTGCTTGGCAGCAGGGTCCTTTTCGGTGGGTTACTTTAGTGTAGTGCCCAGCTGTGGATATGTACACTACCTCTAGTGTGGGTCCTCCCCCGTCGCTGATCCGAACCTACAAGTAACTGCGTGGCTGTTTGCCTGTCGCATCGGCGGGCAGGGCATCCCGCCACGGGAACTGGAACCCAACTGACTGCAACTTTAGGTCGTTACTGGACCGAATTCCATTGATTCGAGTCGGCAACCTCGATGGCGGCTGTGAAGTCACGATTACTGCCCGCCGTCACCGTATTCGTTACCGGGCACCGGACCGCCAACTACCTCTACCTACCTGAACCGAAGTCCATCCTTCAGTCCCACGACACTAACCTACAGTAATATCGCATCCCGTCATCCCATCGCATCCCCCCGCCTTGCAGCTCCTCACTCCGTCCCATCTCCCGAACCCGCAAATGACCTCGTGGGCGCATGGTCGGTGATCCGCGACGGTTCGCGCTGTTTGGACAGGGGCCTTGCTGCCATGGAGTCCAGCATCCCAACGACGTACAGCTCAAGACAACTGCCGAGTCCATCATCCATGCCGCTGCTTGAAGTTCGGCTTCCACAGCTTCCACTTCTGAGCGTCGCCACAATAGACTTTCATCCCAACACGCCATTACACCGTCCCTCAGGCCGCCGTCGCCGGCCTACATGCGCCCTCATCCCACTCCGCTAACACGTCTTCGCGCCCGGTGCATGGTCACTACGACTTTTGCGACTCCGCCTCCAAAGGCATCTCTATTTCAGATATGGACACTGGCGACTATGATACCAATACCTTGCTAATTGTATGCTGGCCTGTCCCGTCCTCGGACCACCGCCTCCCACTCCCCCCCTAACTCACGCGTCTCTCCTGCAGAATAATCTTTCCGCCATTTCTTTTCGCGTTTACGAACCCGTTGCCGCCAACACAGCCTCTTACACCTTCCAGCCACAAGTCGTCGAGGATGCCTTGCGCCGTGATGGCCACCTCGTCCACGTCGATACTACCCGGCGATGTATATGGGTCTTTTACTTGACAACCAAGGATGGCTCCATGTTGGGACCCGAGGAGCGAGGGCTCACCGCCAAGATGGAGGTCTGCGGTTACTCGTTAGGCTTGTCTGGAGAAGGCGGCTTTGAACCCAGTAGCTTGTTCAGAAGCAGACAGCTTGGGACAAACTCTCTCAACACTCCAAACAGCTCGTCCTCTGCCGGTTCTGCTGTTGACGCTACATTCCGGAATCCGCAGGCCTCTGCCTTTCCTACCGCAGCAGGTGCCATGCCCGGCGCTCCAGTAATGGATAACAAGGGCGCGTCGCACATACTTTCGGACTCGGATCGCTTCGCCCATGTACCATTAAAGGAAAAATACGACTTCTTCATCACTGCGACCCTGGCATCTCTGTCCTCTTCGTTGTGCCACACGATAGGAGCCATTCCGCTGGACCATAGGTCGATATTGCTCCCCTCTCAAGCATACTACTTGGATGAGTTCATCCTAGGCCCGAAGCCGCAAACCTGTGCCCTCGGTACTTTTCGCGTCTATCTTACATCGACCGGGACACTCGTCATTTCTCTTTCCGTCTCTTTGCTTGAGGGATTGGCATCTTTTGCGGAGCTGGCGCGGTCAAACATGCTCCCATCAAATCCAGTGGTGCTTGCTGCTCCTCTTGGAGCATTCGGTTTCATGCTGAATCCAGTGGATGGGGACATATATGGTCTTGATAGCGGCTATGGCCATTCGCCAGACACCCAAATCAGTCGTCTAAGGCCGGATCCAACAACCGATAGGCTCTCACAATGGAAGGCAACTTGTTGCAAAGTACTCCAAATGCGTGGTATATCGCCTTCGCTGATCAATGGCTGCTCCTGGTTCAATGTTCACTTCCTGCAGCGAAAACCATACGAACACAGACAAGACGCCAAGAGACCTCCTTTGACGAACCCACCTCAGATCGCGGCTTGGCCATCAGTGCTTTGCTTTAGGAAACCAAGGATCGATGCTGGCGCTGATAGCCGTTCATCCAAGGCACTGGTGGCGAGCGCACCCGAATCGCTAGATCCGGTAGATGACGCGAGGCAATGGTGCCAAGGATTTCCTGA